TACTCCGGTGTTGTATTTTGGTATAGAGGCGACTGGTTGATGGATGGGGATGGAGTGCTGGAGTCCGAGTAAATTACTTCAGGAAATGATTGTGACATCTGTGTTAACCGTTCCTGAGTCATCACAGATTGAAGTTTTTCCTGACATATCAAAGCCCTGTTCAAGGGCATTTTCTTGAGTTGTACTGCCAAACTTTTGCAAAACAAATCAAACTCATCTTCAGTTTGGACTTTGGCTTGCTCGCTTATAGTTTTTAATTCTTTAATTGCTCTATCAATCGGTATATCAATCTTCCTTTTCTTGTTTGTTGGCTTTCGAGAATATGAAGGAGTCATCAGTTCACTACTTCCTTTCCTACTAATCTCAGAATTTGGCGTCTTCTGTTTCTCACTGCCAGCTTGAGTCTGCTCAGATTCAGCAGAGTCTTCATTTTGAGTCTGTGGTGCATCCTGTAATTAAAATGTTGACACTTTTATTATTACAGGTTCCTGGAAGTCAACATGAATGGAATAACATAATGGAAGACTACTATAGATTATGGAACTTTCCAAACTGTTGTGGTGCAATGGATGGAAAATTGGTGAATATAAGATGCCCAGGAAGTTCAGGCTCTGAATATTTCGACTACAAAAAGAATTTTAGTATTCATCTATTTGCAGTAGTAGATGCGAATTATAATTTTATTTATATAGATGTTGGGACAAACGGAAGGGCAAATGATGCATCCGTCTTTAATAAATCAACACTGAATGAAGCTTTGTTGTCGAATCTTCTAAATTTCCCAAAGGAAGGCGGAATCGTCGCAGATGATGCCTTTCCTTTGCGGACGGATGTTTTGAAACCATATAATACTAGAGGAGAGTTTGGCGATAAACAAAAAATATTTAACTATCGGCTGTCAAGAGCTCGACGAGTGGTCGAAAACTCTTTTGGAATATTAGTATCAAAATTTCGAATCTATGAAAAGGCGATTCCATTGTCAGTGCAAAAAGTTGAACAACTTGTTAAAACGACGTGTGCATTACATAATTGGCTCAGAAAAACTACAGTGGACTACGTGCAACAACGATCACTGGAAACTGAGGATTGGGTCACAGGGTCCATTGTACCTGGAGAATGGCGAGAAGTACCATATTTAGCATTAAGCGATTTACCACCAACCAATGCAAGAAATCATAGTGAAAATGCCCGCCGCGTGCGTGACGTATATGCAGAAAAGTTTGTCACTTCATGCACTGTACCATGGCAATGGAACATGATAAGAAGAATATGATGTAATAATACTGAATAAACCTATACAATTCATATACGTTGTTTTTGTTTGAGTATAAGAAAAATAAAATAAAATAAAATATGTTTATTATGGAACATAAGATACATGTATCACTTATTCCACGTCATTAAATTTGAAGGCATCCCTACTCATCGGCAAAGAAGACAGAGGGTGTAGGCCGAGAGAAAAAGCCGGCGTAAAAAACTCTCGGTACTCTTTTAAAACAGCAAATCATCAAACAACACTTATTTAAAACAAATATCGCAAATTAATTAGAAGTAGCCTGTCTAGCACTAGTCCCAGGCCCTTTTATCAACTAGATAATCGTTGACTTTATAGTAAGCCTTTTTACACAGCTTTTCTTTAATACATTTCTTAAATTTATTGAAAGGCAGTGATAAAAGAGCCTCTGGGATTTTATTAAAGAAGAGTATCCCTTTCCCCAAAAAAGAATTACTAACTTTAGATAGTCTAGTACGGGGAAATTGCAGCCTGCGTTTGTTCCGTGTAATAACATTGTGCGTATGTTCTATTCTAGTAAACTTATCACTGTTTTTGTATACATACATAATATTTTCATAAATATATTGCGAGGGAAAGGTAAGTATATTAATTTCCTTGAATTTATCTCTAAGAGATTCCCTACATTTTGAATTATAGATTGCACGAATAGCCCTCTTCTGCAGGATGAAAATAGTTTCGACATCAGCAGCATGACCCCATAATAATAAGCCATAAGTCATTAAGCTATGAAAGTAACTAAAATAAACAAGTCTAGCTGTATCGACATCAGTTAGTGAGCGAATTTTTTTAACCGCGTAGGCTGCAGAACTAAGTCTCTTCGCCAATCCGTTAATATGAGGGGACCACTGAAGTTTTGAATCCATGGTGATTCCGAGAAATACAGTTGTATCATCCAGATTCAAGTTCTTAAGTATTAAGTAGGTACCTACCTAGCTTCTGTTCACGTAGTGGTCGCTTATCGAACAGACAGACAGAGTTACTAGGATATGGATTAGTATGGATTGATAAAAGATTCTACTTACGAGACTTGATGTACTCTGCCGTGGGACGCATACACTGCTTAAAAATTCTGCATGTTTAAACCAGTACAGGGTCGGTACATAGACATCGTCAGAAGAGCAACCGCTTTTAGTAGACTGCTTTATTTTGGTTAATTCTGTTGTATACCGGGTCCTTATCGTTTTTATTTTACGTTTAATATCTTCTTCAGTAATTTCTAAGTTTAAATCACTGATTAGAGATTTTATAGAGTTTGCCCGCATTGTTCGGTCTTTGTATTCAACAATTTTGTGGTTCCAAAGGCATTGATAATTTTTAAAGTTCTCCAAAAAAGTAATGTATTTTGATCGTTCCACTTGAACACCATTTTGCCGCATGAAAACAATATAATAACACACAGAAAAAAAAGTTATAACTTCGTCGACAACGTGATGTCCGTCGGCTACAGGACTCGAAACAAAATGGCCGAATCTGAATGAACGTTCTCTCAGTGTTCAGACCGTTCATTTCTCGTTCATTCGGAGTGGGAATGAAAGATACCGGATGCCAATATCCAACACTGTTGGATCGGTTCACTAATGAATTCATTCGGCACTCGTGTTTCATTTTTTGTTCAGACATTTCATTTCGAGTGAAATGTACCGAATGAAAGGTGAAAATGAACAAAAAATGAAACTTTAAGGTGATATCAGACGGTTCACTCGAATGATTGTTCACTCGAGTGAATGCTTCATTTTTTTTCATTCTATGTTCACACGGCTTAGACGAAATGATACAGAAATGAACATTCATTGTTCTTTCTTTTAAATATGTCATCGAATGAAGTCGTACGTCTTGGAATTAGTTTAATTTGTGATCATTTAATCAAAGAGTTGACAAAAAAGAAGCAAACAAAACGTCGACGGTGGTGGGTGCGACCATGGATTGAAAGAAGAAATTTATTTAAAAAAAAAAGTAATGTATTTTGATCGTTCCACTTGAACACCATTTTTCCGCATGAATAAAATATAATAACACACAGAAAAAAAAGTTTTAACTTCGTCGACAACGTGATGTCCGTCGGCTACAGGACTCGAAACAAAATGGCCGAATCCGAATGAACGTTCTCTCAGTGTTCAGACCGTTCATTTCTCGTTCATTCGGAGTGGGAATGAAAGATACCGGATGCCAATATCCAACACTGTTGGATCGGTTCACTAATGAATTCATTCGGCACTCGTGTTTCATTTTTTGTTCAGACATTTCATTTCGAGTGAAATGTACCGAATGAAAGGTGAAAATGAACAAAAAATGAACCGTCTGATATCACCTTTAGAGAGTGCATAAGTGCCGTGAAACGCGTGCGTGTTTTTTGATTTTTAAAGATGGCTAAATGGTCGGAAGATACAACTATCAAATTTGTGTCTGAATATGTTGTTCACGAATGTTTGTGGAACGTTAAAAACAATTTATACAAAAACAAACAGCTAGGCATTCGGCATACACTGCCTCAAAAGAAGCTATTTTGTTTATTATTTATATTTAGTTTATTTATTTCGAATACAATCTCGTCTTCTATTTGTTCCATAACTTCAGTTAGTATTTTGCGTAGAATAGAGCGTATTTGCCGACGTCGTTGCGCGTTCATTGTGGCGCTGTAATGATACTCTACTGGAAGAAATGTAAACGTTCACTCGCAACGCACTAGAGCACTAAAGAACTTGCCTTTCAACTTGTACTAAAATACTCTCCTAAACACTAAGATAATGTAAATCGGCCTTAAGTGCTGGAATACCGCTTCTATACATCCGGTCCCTAAAAAAGGCGATCGCTCTGATCCGTCCAACTATCGCCCAATAGCTATAACCTGTGTTCTCCAAAAAAATAGAAACCATTATTAACGGCCAGCTCCTGAGGTATCTAGAGAGCCACTTCCAGGCTGATTAGCAATTATCAGTACGGCTTTAGTAGCTCAGCTGTTGACCTTCTTGTATACCTTACATATAGGTCGGCAAAGGTAATTGAGTCCAAGGTGGAGGCGCTGGCGGTAAGTTTCGACATAGCGAAAGCCTTCGATCGGGTGTGGCACAGAGCATTGCTCTCGAAGCTTCCAGCCTATGGGCTCTCCGAGAAATTATGCAACTGGATATCCAGCCTTCTTGCTGATCGGAGCATGTTTCGCGCTTAATTCCGTGAACGCCTGGGTCTCACAAGGCTGTGACCTATGTCCGACTCTCTTTATTCTGCATACCAATGACATGTTGCAACTTAGCAACATTCATCGGACGACAGCACTGGTGATATTCTTTACACTGGCTGAGCAGGTATTTATCGGGCAGTTGTCGATCACTACCGAATCAACCTTGTGTCTCGGACTGGGATAGACTAACTCTCGTAAAATTTTACCCCAGGAAGACACAAGTTTGCGCGTTTTCCGCTAAAATATACTGCTTTGAATAGTAAAAAGATAAAATGAAAGTCAACCTCGATAATAATATTTATTGCAAAATGTAACACTTAATCATATAAACATTGGATTTACAAGAGTATATTTCAATATTATTATGTATTAAACAATATCATCTACATCTAAAGTTTGCCGACAAATTAAACCATTTTGTATGGAAGTACAATTACTTTAATTTCTTGAAAAAAAAAAACGTTTTTGTTGCCTTGTCACTTAGGTATACAAATTGTTCAAATCAAGATATAATTTTTATTAAACATTAAAGATTGTCCTATAGTTTGGAATAAACTTAGAACACTTTTGATTTAGAAATTATTAATTACAAGGTAGAGGGCGGGGCTCCGATTCTATCAGACTCGCGTTGACAAGAAACGTCTAAGTATGATAAAAGTATGTTTTTGTTTGAAATCACCTGGGACAGATCATTTCTGTATTATTATAACCACGCAGGAATTCCAGTTTAAATTGTTTGTAAACCCTGATTTTGCGTTACACCACTATATAAACATAATTAACTTGAAGTCAACGTCCTCTCAAATATAACACTGCCTATATATAGTTGTTGTTAAACATATTTTACACCTAAAGTCCACTGACTTCGCGGACAAAGAACTGCGAGCTAAACTTTTTTGAACGTTTTTACGTCATATGGAATTAAAAAAAAAAAATCTGTATAAATATACAATATGTATACGTAGATTCACAATAAAAGAAGTGTACAAAATTACATATTATAAAGCTATAGCTGGCAAATTCAAAGAATTACGTTAAAAATCTTTAGAGGTACGTCATTTTCTCATATGTAAAATAAAAAAAAAATAACTGGACATAGACCGGTAATGTTGTAGTTATATAATATGTCCTGCTCTGCGCCGATACTCTGTAACTTCCAAAACTGATAGCGATATTTTTGTATAGAATTTCGGCGTAGTTCTCTCAATATCCGAAGCCGGAGAGAATTCACTATTCAGTTACAGAGTACAGGCGCTGATTGTAGAATTTATTAAATTATTATCTGACTATTTCCTATGGTATGTCATATCGTTTTATACATTGAACGTTTAACTTTTCAATTACCATTCTACTATATCGCTAATTAACAGTATAAATTTAATGTATACAATTTTCTGCTATCTCATGCAGACGAGTTTTATGAAGTGATCAATCAAATCACGGACACGACATAAAAAATGCACCGTTTTTACTATAATATTTTGTCTCTTACTGTCAAATTGGCTTACGCTGTGATGAAAAGAGACAGGTGAGTACTTTAATGAAAGTGCAATTAGACTGAGGGGTTAGTTAACTTTTTTTACTACTGTATATTATTTTCCTTGAACTAGTATTGTTCTACATTTTGATTCACATACTAAACGAACATAATAAAATACATTTCACTTACATTAGTTTTAATGTTTATCACCTTATACATCTGTTGCTCTTAAATAAACTCTATATTGTACAATATAAATTATTGATAACCTACCTATATATATGACACGGGTATATCGCTTTGGGAACATGGCATCAA